TTTGTTTTATGTCTAAAATATTGTAATACCATGAAAAAAAAATGGTATTCTATATTTTATATAAAAACTATCATATTTTCTGTTAATTAATATTTTTTTTCTATTTCTTAATTGATACTTATTATTTTTTTTACTACTCTCTAAATCTTAATTAGTAAAAATTTTAACTAATTAGCAATTCACGCTTTTTGCTTTGGAATTAGTTGAATACTAAGTAGAAAAATTAACATTACTAACGTTACTAATATTACTAACATTACTAACGTTACTAATATTACTAACGTTACTAATGTTACTAATGTTACTAACGTTACTAATGTTACTAACGTTAGTACCTATAAAAAAATTAAGAAAATGTTTCTCATTCGCATTTCCATTCCCACTTCCACTCTTTCTAATTCTCATTTCCACTTTCACTTCCACTTTTTTATTTTCATTACCACTTCCACTTTTTCTAATTTTTATTCCCACTTCCCTTTTTCTAATTTTCATTCCCACTTCTACTCCCATTTTTTCCACTTCTAATTTTCATTAGCTGTTGCCATTTCGACTAAAACTCTTTCTAATTTCCATTTGCACAACCAGTTCCACTTTTTTTTTAATTACCATGTATGGAAATTAGAAAAAGTGAAAGTGATAATGAAAATTTAAAAAATTAGGAATGTAATTGGGACTGAAAATATAAAAAAATTGTAATGAAAATAAAAAAGTGGAAGATGAAATGGGAATGAAAATTGGAACAAGTGGAAGTGAAAGTGTGAATGAGAATTAGAAAAAGTGGTAGTGGCAATGAATATAAAAAACTGGAAGTGGAAATAGAAATGGGAATGAAAAGTAGAAAAAATGGAAGTGGAAATGGGAATGAAAATTAGAAAAAGTGGAAGTGAAGTGGGAATGAGAATTAAAAAGAGTAGAAGTGAGAATGGAAGTGCGAATGAGAATTAGAAAAAGTATAAGTGGAAATGGGAATGAAAATTATAAAAAGCTTAAGTGGAAGTGAAAGTGAAAGTGGTAATGGGAAAGTAGTGGCAAAGTTTCTGTGAAAATATATTTTAGAAACTCTTAATTTTTTTATAGGTACTAAAGTTAGTAACATTAGTAACGTTAGTAACGTTAATTTTTTCACCTGGGGATTTAGTTATGATAATCCAAATTTAGAAATTTATTTATTTCGGTTAGAAAAAAAAAACATAGTTTATTTTATTATATATAAATAAATCATTGCAGTCAAATTGATAAAATTTTATTTATTGGAAAAATGTCTCTTCTTCTTTAATTGAGGTTTATAAATAGAAATAACGAGCTGATTCGTATAACGAGTCAATAATAATAAAAAAAAATTCTAAATAAAGAACAAAAATCGCTTTCCCGAGTGGGACATTTAGAAATATATATATATATTTATATAAATCGTCCGATATGAAATAAACGATTTTTTTTTTTTTGCATATCTGCAATATCAAATCAAAAATCATACAATATCTATATATATGAAGGAAATATAATATGAAGTTTATTGTTTGTGAAGAGCATTCATGAATATAACCTAAATAAATTGTATTCATGTGTAATAAACTTTTCATGTTTGACGAAACCATATATATTCATTATTTTTGCAAATAATGTTTAAAAGGTTAATATATAATTTATTTTCAATTGCACAAGCAATTTCCTGTCACTTTTGTATTTGCGGAAATAATCATAGGTATATTCACATATTAGTATATTTTTCATTCCCATAACGAGTTTTTTTAAAAAATCAATTTAAAAAAAAAAATAAAGGTAATATACCAAATTTCGTAAGGAAATTTGAAAAAAATATTTAGAATCACAAAGATCGTTTGGTAAATTTAAAAAATGAAGAAAAAATTATCCTAAAAATAGTTTGGGATGACTAGAAGTCAATTTGATAAAAAAAAAAAAAAAATGAGCGATAAAAGAGTAAAAAGCACAAAACCTTGTGTCATGGCTTTTATTTTTATACAACCAAAATTCATTGTCATCATGTTTCACTAATACACCAATTTATTCCTTCACCTAAAAAATCGATTCTAATTTCAGGCCATAAATCGCAGGAGATTATCGATTATGCCTCGAGGCTTCTCTCTTTGACACTCTTTTCATTCTTTTTTTTTCTTTTTTTTTTAATTCCATTTGAACGCACAATGTTTTAATTGGCACAAAAAGAAACAGAGTATTCCAATAACACAAATTGCTGGAATTAATTTCTGTTTCCCAGCTATTGCAGTTACCGCGTGATGGTTTCTAATTAAGAATAGTATTTTGCTTTTAGTTTTCGAATCTTTGTAAATTTTGCCAAACAATTTTCTATTCTATTTCTCATCATTATGAAATTATTTTGAATTTAAAATTCAATTGAACAAAAAAAAAAAATTCTTTTCAGCCCAAATAGAAAAAAATGCTCGCCAAAAAAATTCAGGAAATAATAATAATTAAAAAAATCCCTACAATTATAATGCAATATAAATTAATTATTCAAAAAATAAAAGTACTTTCGCATAATTGTCTCAACAATAAAATGGACAATTAGAAAATAATTTTTTTTGTGCTGGAAAATTTTTTTTTTCGTTTCTTGTGTTCTATGATTGAAATAGCCTTCACGTCAAACTTTTTTGTCCTACTTGGAAAGGTTCTTGTGACCTTTTGAAGCACTTGGACTTTGGCGAATAAAAGTAAAAAATGAGATGCTTGATAGATGGTTGTTAGAAAAGACGGAAAAAGGTTCTACATTTTGAGCAGGTTTTTGTGAATATTTTCCATTTATAAAAAAGAAGAGCGATGATGTCGCATAAAAGTGCATTACACTTGTCACAATAATATAATGTAATTAACATTTTCTATTTGAAAAAAAAAAATCTGAATTAGTTAAAAATAACTAAAATACATTTTAAAAAAAAAAAACTTAAATTAACTTTTTAGATAAACTCTTTGGTATATAGATGACGCGATTTTTCTTTCACATTTCAATTTGTCAGAACTTCTTTTGCAACTTTAATTACGTACCTTCTTGAACTCATTTCAAATTTGTTATATATTTATTCTCTCCATTATAGAGGTTTCTCAAAATAAGGAAACATTTTTATAAAATCTACATCATTAATTCTGATTTAATTTAGTTGGAAAAATATTTTTTTTAAATTAAATTTTTATTTAGATTTACCTGAAGCAGTGAAAGATTTGACTAGAAAAGGGAAAAGTTATTTAATTAGTTTAACTTTTATTATTCCAGTGAAACATTTCGCTGTTCCAAAGAAAAGTTTTTCTTTTTTAATTTTGTTTATAACACACTATTTTTTTTTTCATCAAAGAAGCAAATAAGTATAGAATGAGTGTACGTTGAAAAACGAATAATGTATTTTCACAGTCATAATAGTATATGGCAATGATTCAGCATCTCTTTGTGTCCTAAACAACTCGAGCCTTTTTAGAATCTTCCTCAAATGTCTCTTCAGTTACACAATATATAATATATTCGTGCTTTTTGAACTATGTTTACATTGTCCCTTGTCATCTAATTATATACCTATTCTGCAAATAGCAGTCCTTTTATTCTGTTTCTATTATAAATTTTATAAATGAGAATTTTTAGCAGATAATACTTTAGGTCAGGGGAAAAAAATTGGGTTATCTACACCGAAAAAAAAAAGTTCTCAAATTTAGAGGATTCCTCTTCTTTTGCAGCAACTATTCCTTTTATATATGGGCACTAAAGTTTTCATATCTAATTGAGAGGATTTTCCTCTTTTATATTTTGAGAGGAATAATTTCAAATAAAGATTTATTCATCTTGTTTCAAACTTACGTCAAATTCAAAAATGTCAACCTTCTTTACAGGGTTAAAAGAAATTAATGATTTAATTTACTCGTTATTACTCGGATTAAGTAATTTATAATGAAAGAAACCATTTTTGGAGAAAAAATATAGACGGCGAAAACACGAGCTGAGTTTTTATACAATAAAATACCAAAGATTTTCAGGTTGTTAAAAATGTTTTTAGTTTTTGTTCATTTTAAAATAAAGTGCTCAGTATTCAAGTGAAAAAAAGTTAATGAATTATTTAAATCAAAGTAAATATATTTTTAAAATAGTGTAGAGGTCAAATTGATGAAAAAATCAATTCTGATTTGAATATTATTAAATTCTAACCCTAGAAAAAATAGTGGTTAAACAGATCGCATTGTTGATAAATTATAATAAATTTATCACAGTTTTTAATATGAATAGAAATAATTTTTTATACATTAAAACCTTAATTTTCAGTGAAAAATTTGTTAATTAAATAATTAATGTAGAAAGTACAATTTCAGATAACAGATTTTTCAGCTCGTTGTCCATTTTATTTTGAACTGTCACTTTTCAAACAGTTTGAAGATGCGCACAACAAAACAAAATGAAACTATAAAAATCTTTTTTACAGCATAAATTTGTTTCACTTTTGAGAGGAATAATTTCAATTATAGAAAAAAAATCTTAAATGCAAATGAATAAATTCAATCAAAGAGAAAATATTAAAAGTTATCATTTAATAAAAATATTCTCAAATAAAGAAGAAAAATCCTCCTTTTTGTAGATGAATATTCGTATATTAAAAATAAAATGTAAAAGTAATTTATGAGCGGAATTTTCTTCTCATTTGGAGATTTTATTTTTTTCGGTGTACAGAAACTCATGTGTTATCTACAAAATGCAGTTGTAGTCTCTACAAAACATTTTGGGAAATACACAAAATGAACAAAACTAAATTTGTGAAAAAAATAGATTATTTTGTAAGATGCGACTATTTTCTTTTTTTGTCTATTCTAAATTTTTTTTTTCCGTGTAAAAGAAAAGAATAAAATTTTGGTTACGAATTTTCTTCATAGGAAAATATTCTAGAAAGTAAAATAATTTTTTTTTTAAAAAAAAAGTAAAAAGCGCTTCTGTGAACAATGTTGAGATTGATGAATTTTTTACGTGTATACATTTCTGTTTATGTTAGATATACCGAAGACAGCTGAGGGCGACAGGAGCGTGGTGTCGTCTAAAGAAAGTAGACAAACGGAACAAAAGGAAGAGGACAAGACAGTAGACGAGGAGGGAGAAGAAGAAAAAGAAGAAGAAGAAGAAGACAAGACAACAAATAAAGAAGAGGAAGCTGCAACGAGAATACAAGCAGCTTTCCGTGGCCATCACGCCAGGAAGAGTATGAAAGATACGGAAACTTCAACGAAACAGACAGAATCCAAATCAGATTCAGAACCAACCAAGGAACAATTACTGAACGAGTTTCGCGAGGACGATAAGGGTGAGTTTTCCCTAAGGACCTATATATATATTTTAAGAGGAAAAGTGCCAGTAAATGACCGTTGAGAAAACGATTTTTCCAAAAAAAAAAAAAAAAAAAAACTCGACCTACATTTCTTTCCAATTCTTTTTTCAGACAAAAACTATATTGCAGTGAAAAAAAGACCAATTTTTTTACTAATTTAATTTTATAATTTAAATTCAAAAATTTAGTTTTTTTTCACAGAAAATTAAAAGGCGTTAAAATAAGCTGTAACGCTTATTATTTTAATCCATTTTGGTATTTTAAAATAAGCAAAATTGGATTAAAATAATAAGCGTTGCAGCTTATTTTAATGCCTTTTAATTTTCTGTGTTTTTTTTATTAATTCAATATTTTTGAGAGAAATTTTATTATTAAGCTTACGTGTTCTTGATAAAATATCAGAACATAAAGGGGGAGATTGACAGATTGCAATATACATTTTTAATATAGATTAAAAGAACGTATAATTTTCGAAAGTTCTATTTATAACTATTTTAATCTTTTAAAATGAAATTTTTTTAAAAATTCGAATATTAATTTTTTTGCCCTCATTAATATTAATTAAAATCATTAATATAAAGTCTTTTTTTACTTAATGTCAACAAAAAAAACCAAAATTTAGTGGTATTAATAGATATTTAAGAGTAAACAGCGATTGAATAAGTCACAACAGAATGGAAGAACTCAATCGTTTAATGTGGACGAAAAGTAATTGAATATCGATTACAAGTATTGTGACGAAAAACAAATTTTTATTTCCATTTTTTTCTTTTAAAAATTTTTTTTCGTTTTTTTTTTTTTTAATAGTTTTATTCTCTTTCAAACTGTTTTATTAAAAAAAGGGGAGAATTTTTTAAAAAAAATATAAACTCGAGACTTTTTCAAAAATGTTGATCTTTGGAATTTTTATAATTAGAAGAAGTCTCGTCTCTCATATATAAAAGAGCTCTCGAAAAAAAAAGAAATGTAAAAATGACAGAAAGTTGATAATTAATGTCGAAATTTTTTTTTTTAGAGCTTTGCGAAGCAGCTACTAGAATTCAAGCTTCATTCCGTGGCCACATGTCGAGAAAGGTAGCAGCAATTGGCGAAGCAGCCAAAACTGCTGGGGATATGGTGGAGAATGTAGTTAATAAAGTCGAAAAAACGGTGAGTAGAATTTTCAAAAATATAGAAATCAATTTTTTTCCCCTTTTTGTCATTGAAATATATAATATATAATAAAACATGTAATTTACATATATAAATTAATATTTATACTATGTATTTCTTTCTATATATTTTTTTTTCTATAAATATATTTTTTCTCCATATAGAACTATTTTTAATCAAAATTTATTTACATTCAAATTCTTTTTTAATAAAAAATATTTTTCATTACCTTTTTTTTTAATATATGCAAAAAATTCGTTTTCAAATAAAACATATTGGTTTTTTTTTTTTTTTTTTTGAAATATAATTTTAAACATTTATAAAGAGATTGAGGTTTTTTTTTTAAATCTTATTATAAACAGAATAAAAGATGAGCTTTGCAGTTAAATTTCTTTTGCAAAGCAACTTCCCATGGGCTTTCTCGTGAACATAAACAGAAAAGTTATTTGAGTTGTGGAACTATCTCCAGGCTCTATTTTCTACAAAGAAATATATATATATATGTACCGCGAAGTGTAGATTTTAATTAAAGATTGAGCGTTTCAAGGGAAATCAATAGAAATTTTCAACTACAAGCGTTAAATCAACTCAAATTTGAATTTCTCAATATATAGAATAAACAATGAATTTTTTTATTCTGTATAATAGATGAGGGAAAAAATTTTTTTTACTTCTCTATATAAAGTAATGTAAATAAAAAAGGAAATTTTGATTGTAATATAAGTTGGAGAGTTTTTTTTTTGCTATGTTTGTACACATTTGCGTTGGTTACGTGATAGGCAGAATTAGATATCAGATAACATTCAATGTGCAAATTACAAAGGGAATGTTAAAGTTTATGAATAATTTATAAATTCTTTTGGCTACATGTGCGCATTTTCAGAATTCGTGAGGTTTCATTTTGATTTGTTAAGTAAACTAATTTTGACCAAAAGAGAATTTTAGAAATTTAATAGAAAAAGAAAAAAAGTCTTAATAATTTTTCAAAAAATTTTTATTTTCTATTTCCTGGCCTGTAAATTGGATACTCAGATTTAAGTTTGCTCGCAAACAATATTTCTCAAAATGAATTCTAGTTCTTTCTAGAAGGTTAAAAAAGAGACGAAACTCTGCAATTTACAATGACAATAAAACGGAAGCAAACAAAATTGTTCTATTTCTCAAAAAAAAAATGATTCCATTAAGAAACATGTCAGTAAGAAAAAATAATTTAATAAAAATAGTATTATAAAATATAAATTATTAGAAAATAATGAAAAAAGAAAATAGAATTTTGCAGTATTTAACTGGAATATTGTGAACTCAATAAACCGACTTAATCCAATGTCGATTACTATTAATTATAATTTACTTTTAGTACAGCTTAATCCAGACAATTTCTAAATACTACGTTGATATATTTATCACTTTTTTCTTTTTAATTTATTTAAAAAAAATTCTTAATTTTTGACATTATTTTTTTTTTTATTATCAATATTGTAAAGTTATAATAATTTTACACAAAAAGTTATCATAAAAGCCTTCAATAAATCATGCTTCTAGAAGTTCATAAAAGTAGTTTTAATACTTTGAAACACTCAAAAATATATATTTTCTCAACTTTGTTACGTTGCATTATAAGTTTAAACTATTATACCTTGAAGAAAGAGTTTCCTGATCTAAAATAGATTATTATTATTTACACTAAAATTGTTATATTTGAAACTAAAAATAAACTTTTTGTAATAAATTGTTAATTTTGCCAGAAAATATAAAGAAATAAAAATTAATTTGAACTTTAAAATTTTTTAAACGCATTTATAGAATTTTTGTTCATAGACTCAAATATATTTTATTTGGTTCAAATAAATCATTTCTCTGGGTGTAATCCATTTTGGTATTAAAATAAGCAAAATTGGACTAAAATAATAAGCTTATTTTAATACCTTATAATTTTCTGTGTTTCCATTTTCCTAAATTATTATTTATTTTTCACCCATTGTTTAAGAGAATATAATTTTGTCTTTCTTCTTGATTAAACATTACGACTGTAACAAACATGGTTATACCAAGCATTGTAATATTTTGCTGACAAAATACTCATATATCAAGCCACTTTAACATCCGAGAATGGAACTTGTCAACTCTAACCTCGTATATAAACTAAATTTCGCCTCGTCCACAGTTAATGTTAACTAATTACATAAGCTTACTAAATTAAATCAGTTTCTAAGCAACAACTGTACGAAACATTATATATATTTATCTGAGAGAAATATAATATATATACACAGGAATACAGGATCTTGTCAATACTGTCGCATTGTTCTCTTGCATGAGAGAATGTTATATCCATATACCCACATAAACTCACGTAATCGATAAGATCGAGAACAGTGTACAGAATTCAGTGACAGAATTCAAAGGACAAGATGTGTCCCCTAAGGTTATGCCTAAATGCACTCAAGCGGATTGCTCAATTATATATAGAAACCTATATATTTGAAATCAAATTTTATTATATTAATTTAGTATAAAAATAATTAAAAAATTAATATATCCCGCAATTTTAAAATTTTCCAACACTTTCGAACTTTTGGGTTTTGGATAGCATTCACTTGAGGTATATATATATATATATTCCTAGGCAATCATGGACCAATCACAGCCTAAGTAATTTGCTCCAGTGTAAACTTTGAGTGAATGTCGTAATATAAACACAACCTTCGAAACCGAACATTAAACACACATACACCCACAAATGACAATAAATGAACAAATTTGAGTGTACGTCAATATCTAAATTGATGAAAATAGTTTAAAATAAATATCGATGTAAATCAAGTCTACTGCCTTAAGGGTTCTTAAAATATAACCTCAAACTAAAAAGTTTTTTAACAAATAAAACTGTAAATACAATTAATTTTTTTCTCCCTTCGTTTAAAGTTTACACAGAAAAAAAGGGGGAGGCATGATTATGATCTAAAAATCATTAGTCATAATTTACATTTTATTGAATTTTATTTGTCCTAATTAGTTTTGAGCCGAATTTTTATTTGTTCGAATTAGTATTTTGCATAATTTTCATCAATCCGATTTTCTATATTGCAGAATTTTTATATAACCGAAAATTCACTCCACAGAATTTTTATTTCTTCGAATTTTTATTTGTCAGAATTTGTATTTGCTCGAATTTTCATTGAACATAATAGGCATTTTAAAGGATTTTTATTGGGTAGAATTTCATTGAATAGAATTTTCATTCAGATGAATTTTCATTTGTTCGAATTATTATTTGATATAATTTCCATATAATCGATTTTTCATACTACAGAATTTTTACTTAACCGACAAATCATTTAATAGAATTTCTAATTGATAGAATTTTCATTTGTCCGAATTTGCAAATGGCCGAACAAACAATCAACAGAAAGATTTCGGCGCGATTTTCAAAATCAACCAATCACAATTTTATGGATAATTTTTTATTGGTTTATTTTAAAAATCGCGCCGAAATCTTTCTGTCGATTGTTTTTTCGGCCATTTGCAAATTCGGACAAATGAAAATTCTATCAATTAGAAATTCTATTAAATGATTTTTCGGTTAAGTAAAAATTCTGTAGTATGAAAATTCGATTATATGGAAATTATATAAAATAATAATTCGAACAAATGAAAATTCATCTGAATGAAAATTCTATTCAATGAAATTCTACCCAATAAAAATTCTTTTAAATGCCTATTATATGTTAAATGAAAATTCGAGCAAATAAAAATTGTGACAAATAAAAATTTGAAGAAATAAAAATTCTGTGGAGTGAATTTTCGGTTATATAAAAATTCTGCAATATAGAAAATCGGATTGATGAAAATTAAGCAAAATACTAATTCGAACAAATAAAAATTCAGCTCAAAACTAATTAGGACAAATAAAATTCGATAAAATGTAAATTATGACTAATAATTTTTAGAACATAATCATGCGTCCTGAAAAAAGGGTTTGGTATTGACAACCAAACGTTTGGTTGCACAGAAAATTAAAAGGCATTAAAATAAGCTGCAACGCTTATTATTTTAATCCAATTTTGCTTATTTTAATCCATTTTGGTATTAAAATAAGCAAAATTGGATTAAAATAATAAGCGTTGCAGCTTATTTCAACGCCTTTTAATTTTCTGTGTTGTATTTAAGCAACCAAATTTTTTTGGTTGAATCAACAAAATTTTGCTTGTCCCAATTAAACTTTAGTTAGGACAACAAAAATCCTTTTCTTCTAATTTTGATTGTGTCAAACAAATTTTGATTGGGACAATTAAAATTTTGTTGATTCAACAAAAAAAATTTTTGCTTTCTTAAATACCAACCAAACGTTTAGTTGTCAATACCAAAACTTTTTTTCAGTGTATATTTTTCCAAAGAGTTGAATTTCTCATTTCTAGATTAATTTAAAAAAAAATTCCATTTAAACATTGTTTGTAGTTCCAGGATTAGAAATCCCAAATTGAAATCTGGGTAAAAGTTTGTTGAAACAATTTAAAAAGAAAATGTTTTTTCTTTGAAAAGAAAGAAATGACATTTTAAAGAAATACAACAAACGCGTATATTTGCGAGCGAAACATGAAATAAATTGCGTTCTTGAAGTAAAATAGAAATATGGTTTCAAGCAAATGAGACTTTAATTATATTACACTGAGAAAAAGAATTATTTGTTTTAAATATAAAGATCAGTTTAAAAGTTTTTGTTTAACCCAACACAGTTTTTATGTTTAATTTTAATATATAGAAAATATTTTCTACTTTGGCTTAAAATTATTATTTGTTTGAATAATTATGTTTGATTCAAACATATTTTCTGTTTGGCTTAAACTGAAAATATGTTTAAAATTTTTATGTTTGATTTAAACATAAAAATTTATTATGAATAAATTGAAATCAACCATAATTTATGTTTAAATTAAATATATTTTCACATTGAATCAACCAGAGAATATATTAAATTTAAACATAAATATGTTTGACTGTATAACAAAGCTATTTTAAGTTTGGGTTAAACATATTATGTTTGAATCAAACATATCGTTTTCTCAGTGTAGCATAAGAGGAAAATATAGTAATTTTCATAATATCTTACCTTTTTCTGTATAGACGACGACGGCAAACAGCTCCAGAACCTGTAACAAAAAAAATAATTATTATATTTAATTATCCAATATTAAAAAAATATGTAAATTAAAAAAAAATTTTCTCATTTTCTTAAATGAAACTTTTGTTTAATTAAAATTTCAATATTTTTTTTCTCCTTGAAAGAGCTTAAATTATATCAAATAGAATTGCAAATTTGTCTTCATCACTCTAACAGCAATAGCTTTGCTTTCTATGGCAGAATTTAATCCTGCTTTATATATATAAAGTCAGAACAAAATTCAAAAGGGAGAAAAAAAAACGGAAACGAAAAGCCTGGTATTTAAATTCTTTTTGAATATATGTATATATCGATAAAGTATGATTATACCTTTGAAATATTACAAAAAAAATATTAACCTTTTTTTTATTTGCAAATATATTTTAAAATATGAAAAAAATAAAGTAAAAATCGATATTTAAACAAACATTTTTATAATAATTTTGAAATCAATAAAATGTCGATATGAATCGGAAATTTTCACATGAATATTTGACCGGAAATGTTTCTTTAAAAAGTTAAGAGTAGGTCAAAGTTCGAGTGTCATATTGTTGGAAGATTGGGGAGACTTTTCTGTTATTCCGAACACGACCCACAAAAAGAGTAAGATATTATAGGCCAACAAACTTTGTTTACAACTTTTTTTTTCTTGTTTCTTCCACACTACAAAATGATATTCTCTTGCTTTTTCACATCATAAATTTTTTTTCTCTCAACTCTTTTATTTGTATGCAACAATTTACTTTTTTTGCTCGCTTATCGAATAAGTAAAAAAAAAAGAAATTAAGATTTTAGAAAAGAGAATTTTACAAGGTCTTATTCATAGAAATGCTACTGCGGATTTAAGGGTAAATTTAGAATTCAGACTTTTATATTATGCTCACAAACACGTAGTAAAAGAATTTTTATGTCACAAGATGAAAAGCATGTAAGATATACACGGGATTATTTTATCTCAAAAAAAAAGGTATAAAATTTTTCTATGATACAAGTATATAATTTTATCTTTAAGTAAGAAATTTTGCAAAACTCTTGAAAAATATTTTTTTATTTTATTTTGTGTTCCAATTTTTCAAATTTCAAAAATATCACAGAAAATTAAAAGGCATTAAAATAAGCTGCAACGCTTCTTATTTTAATCCAATTTTGCTTATTTTAATCCATTTTGGTATTAAAATAAGCAAAATTGGATTAAAATAAGAAGCATTGCAGCTAATTTTAATGCCTTTTAATTTTCTGTGATTTGAACCTTATAAACTTGTATCAAAGACAAATATAGTTTACAAAAAATTGTACAAAGTAAACTTTTAATTAAAGATTCTCATGTATCGATTTTAACTTTCTTTTTTTATGGAAATTTCATCGGAAGATAAAAACGGTTAGAAATTTTGGTAAAGTCGGAAGTGCTCGACGTATTCGTTATAGATAAAAGAGATAAGCTTCTAAAATTTGGCACGGATGAATTCAATGGTAATATTTATGTCGGTATTTGGCTCGTACGCCTGTCTGAGTTTCCATTAGTTTTCGGGTCAATTTTAGGTCAAGGAGAGAGGTAAATACAATTCTATGACAAGAATTTGAAAAATCAAAGTGAAGTATGATTGTGTCACACTTGTCAATAATTTGATTTTCAACTGGGTATATATATAGAAACGAAATTCTCGATTTCAAGTTCTCAATTTCTCAATTCCAACTCTACGTGATTCTACTCTCAATGAACTTTTTTAGAAGGACTAATTTCTCTAAATATGGACTCTTGCCAAAAATATATTTTTTCCAAATCGTTTACTAAAAACAAAATAAGTATTAAAAGTTTTACTATATAACCAAATTAAATTCACAATTTTTCAAAATAAATAAAATTTTCTAATAGATTTTCTTTTATTATGAAAAAAAAATTAGGAAAAATTATTTGAAATTTATACCTATATAAAGTAAAGGTAATCTTACTCAAGAATTGTTGGTTCAATCATATGATTTATGTTTACGTGATGCACGAACACCTTCTCAGAAAAGAACACGAATCGGTAATTTGGTTTTTTTTTTTATTAGTTTTTAAAAAACGCATAATTATTTAATAAAAGTTTAAAATTTTTTAACATTTGTATTCAAAGTAGAAAAAAAATTGTACTAAAGGGAAAAAACTTTTTAGTGGCAATAATTCCAATTCTAAAATAGATAAATTGTAAAAACAGAGGTTTGGGCAATCTGTTTCATTCACGAAAAAAATTTGTTCACAAATCCGAATTGTGTATTTCCGAAAATTTTTTGTGAAGACTACAATTGCATTTTGTGGATAACACAAGAAATTTGTTTCATTGTATCTAAACTATTTTTTAATCAATAAAAAAAAAGGATATCAGAAAAGTAATACTATTTAGCAAACTCCTTAAAAGACCTCCTTTTTCATTTCTTATACCATATATTTTCCCATTTCTCGTTTGAAATTCCATCTCCTCTATTCCAAAAAACGAATTCCTGCCAAAAATTGAAATTTCCCACTTGGAGCGGAGTTCGCGGAGTGGTGACATATTTCATTGCTTTTGGCACAACCGTGAAAAATCTTTGTTTTAAAAAAAGAATGGTAATGGGGGAGGGGATTGTAATGCGACGTTACTGCGGAGGAAACTTTCAAAGTTCACGCAGTATACCTTCTCTCGTAAGATGAATATAAAAATGCAACTATAGTAAAGAAAATAATGCATTCAAGTTTGAAATTTTAAATCTACCCTTAGACACAACAATTGTTTTGCGGCAAAGTAAATTTTCTCTGCTTATATTTTGAAATTTATCGATTTGACACAAAACTTTGCACTTTGTGGCCTTCACAACTTCGCGTGTGTTTATACTCAACAAAAGGAAGACACGTCACATTTCCGGTGTATTCATTTCCCCCAGAATTTTCTTATCAAAATTTTCATCCCCACCGCAAAGATTAACGAAATATTTATATAAATAAAAATTTCGTTTTTCATAAGAAAAATCTTTTTTTTTCTAGAAATTTAAAGAAAAAATTTCCAAACGTTTTTGAAATGGCTTTCATTAAAGTCGAAACGAACAAAAGTCATTTAACAAAGTCGTTCAATTTGTCTTGACGCCTTTTTCCCATAAATATATAGAATTTTTTCCTTTTCTTTTCTCGACATTTAAAAAATGTCTAAACATTTTTCTGTCTAATATTACTAACAATTTCAGTTATTTCATTATTAATAGCACACAAAAAACAAATACTGAAACCATTAACATCTCAAAAATATAAAAATGCCTTAAAACTAGTGTAATCACAGAAAATTAAAAGGCATTAAAATAAGCTGCAACGCTTATTAATTTAATCCAATTTTGCTTATTTTAATACCAAAATGGATTAAAATAAGCAAAATTGGATTAAAATAATAAGCGTTGCAGCTTATTTTAATGCCTTTTAATTTTCTATGATTTTAATCTTAAAACTAGATTAAGTCAATTTTAGGACTTAAAATCAAACACTCAAGGCTGAAATTCAGTAAAAATGGTTCTAATGTTAACGGTTTTAGTCAAAAGTGAACTGAAAGTAAGTATTATTTTTTAGTGTGAAATTTATAGATGATTTTTTTCAAAATTAATGTAAAACTAGAACTACGATAATAAATACTGAACATATATATTTTTCCTCGGGATTAAGAATTCATGAAAATTTAGTCTCGTTGATATAAAACAAGGAATTTATTTCGGAAACAATTTCTTTGATTTATATTCAGTAGACAGAGAGGGAAAGGGAGAGAGAGAGCTTAAATAAATGATAGATAGGAACTTTCGTGTTCCATTTACAGTTTTCGATCGATGTTATTACTTTGAATTACAAGAAGATCGCGTCGTCTCTCTTCTCAAATCGGATTCTTCAATTTCTTTTCTAGAGATATTGCAATTCTGACGGATAAAATGAATGAAAAAAAAAGAAAGAGACCAAAATTCACGAAAAACGACAATATTCCTTCTGTTCAAATAAGAATATTGATTAAATTTTTTTTTTAAATTCCATCCACGAAACATTTATACACTGAAAAGTAGTGAATTGACCAAGTTTGAGAATATACAAGAAAAGAGGTCACAAGATTAATGAACTTTAATATATGTTTTATTTTTAATTTACTTTTAGATAATAAAAATATACACAAAACAAGAAATTTTTAAGAAATTAATTAACTTTTTTTCAAGAATTAAGAATAAATTGTAATTGTCAGAAGCAGAGCTTTTAACTTGAAAATCTAAGGGAGATTGTATCAATGCTTATAAACTGTCAGAAACTGCAGTATATAAAGCGAAATACCTCATTCAAGTTTTGTTTAGTTTCAAGGAACCTTGAAAATTCACGTAATTTATGTATTTTCATTGTTGAAACATCAAAAGATAAATATCCCAAATTTAATATTAACGAAACAGAAATGAAAAAATTATATAAAAAATAATTATTTCTATTATGCAATTTTTCGAGTTTTTTTAATAAAAAAAAAAAAAACTCGAAATTTAATTAAAATTACATTTGTCGTAAGACATGAACAAAGTTTGCCTTTAGATGACAAATAAGTTATTTTCCTCTTTTGAAGTAATGTTATTCAAAGTAACATTAATTAGATGTATAATTAATTCTGTACACGCCAGGTTTACTTAAAAAGAAATTAAAGTCAAAACAGCGAAGAAACTCACAGAATAGAAATTATTACATCAAAAAATAACTACAATGAAAAAAAAAATTTATTTCATTCAAATATACTTGATTATTTGACTATTATCAAATAAATATTTATTTTTATTAAATAATTATTATTCGAATCATGATATTTAATTTAAATACAAAAATTATTGGTTCAAATATAGTTCAATTATATATTTGGAAAATATTTATTTGATAAGTAATCGAGTATTTGAATCAAAAATTTTTTCAGTCATAAAAAAATGTTATTTTTAGTAATTATTCTGTTATTAATTTATATATTAATTAGAAATTATAAA